TGAACAGAGCACATTTTATTTATCCATTCACCAGTTGATGACATTTCAGTTGTTTCTACTTTTTGGTGATTTTAAATAATCCTGCTGTGAACATCATGCACGAGTTATTATCTGAGTTTCTCATTTCTCTGGGGTGTCTCATCTAGGGTAGAATTGCTAAGTCTGTTAATAGACTTTTTTTTTTTTTTTTTCAGTGCTGAGGGTCTGACCCAAGGTCTTTGCCCTTATCAGGCAAATACTCTACTACTAAGCTTCATATTCGGTCCTGTTAATGTGTTTTTAAACTTTTGTATATATTTGGAAACTCTGTCACTTTGTGTGAAATGTTTTTTTTTAAATACAATTAACAATGTAAAATTCCTAACTATTTATAGTTGCCTTTAAAAAACGTTTTACGTTTTCCTTTTGTTACAGGAATATTTTCTGAACTGATAGACCTCCCACCAAAAGCAATTAGCTCTTTATTGAAAGCTCAAATTATTGAAATATAAAAGCCTAACTCTCAATTTCTTTGGCTTTTGACCCCTTAGACAAGTGTTTTATTATTTTTTTTTCTTTTAAGAACATGATAATTTTGATACCACGTCTGGGTGTTATTTTATAATTTATATGTATAAATTTTAAGTACCGTATAAGTTATGAGCCAGGTATTGTGGCATATGCTTGTAATCTCAGTGACTTGGAAGGCTGAGGCAGGACAAGTTCAGGGCCAGCCTTGGCAATTTAGGAAGAACCTATCTCAAAGTGAAAAATGAAAAGGGCTGGGGGGTGTAGCTCAGTGGTAAAGCAACCCAGGACTCATTACCCAGTACTGTGTTTTTAACAAAAAAAGGAAAGAAAATAAATCATAATATAATAACAACATGATTATACTTACATGTATGTTGTAATTTGCTAATAAATGGTTCTCTTCCATCAAAGTGCATGCTCTCATGATTTGCATTGTGACTTTATTTGCTTGTTATGAGATTGATAGTTGTTTTTGTTTGTTTACTATACTAGATATCAAACCCAGAGCTTCCTGTGCACATGCCAGGCAAGCACTCTATCACTGAGCTACATTCCCAATGCTATTTATTTATTTAGGTATCTGTGATTAAATCCAGGGGTCCTGTACCACTGAGCTATGTTCTCATCCCTTCTTATTTTTTTTTTTTTTTTAATTTTGGGACAGAGTCTCACTATGTTGCTAAGGCTAGCCTTCAACTTGCCATCCTCCTGCCTCAGCCTCATGATGGTGCCTGGCTGAGAATAATAGTTTTTAACTGGATTTTCCAAGATGAAGATAATGAATAAGATAGATCCAGCAACAGAGTGTTCTTTTCTTCTTGTTTCTAGGCGTTTTCATAGTCATTTTTATAGCTTTACTCCAGTGCTATAGCATGGGATTGGTACAGAATTTATGTATTTGGATTTTTATTTGCTTGTGAATCATCTTGAAAATATTCCTTCCTTGCTTTTTCTTTTTTTCTTCTATTTCTCTCTTGATCTTTCTCTTTCATTTTTACTTTCCCTGGTCTTGTGAAAGAACATGGCTGGATTTTCTGTTTGAGTCCAAACTCTAACAGAGTAACATTAAATTTTAGGTGGTAGCTGTTTTGTGATGGTGTGGCTGAAATCATGCTTTTTATGTCACTGTTTTATCATGTTCAAAATCTAATGTGGTTATTTGGTTCTGAAATTATACTACTTTCTTTCCTTTTTATTGTTTCTTTTTAGTTATACATACAATAGGATTCATTTTGACATAATCATTAAAGCGTGGAATATAATTTGTTCTAATTCATTTCCAATACTTGCCCTTTGCCTCCCTTCCCCTCCCCCATTTCCTTCCCTCTATCTACTGATCATCCTGCTATTTACTTATAGGGTTTTTTTTTTAGTGTCTTATGGATTATATTAGATTTTTACATAGTAAAATGATGCATATTTCTTGGAAGTATAAATGTAGTAGAATGTAAATGTAATAAAGTGAAATGTCTGGATGCTGGTAAGGTTATAGGGGAAAAAGAAACACTTTCACACTATTTGTGGGATTGTACATTTGTACAACCCTCATAGAAATTGGAATGGAACTTCCTCAGAAAACTAGGGATGGAACCTCCATAAGACCCAGCTATACCACTTCTTAGTATTTATCCAAAAGATTTAAAGCCAGAATTCTATAGTGATGCATACATACATGTTTAGACCAGTGCAATTCATAGTAGATAAATTATGGAAGCAGCCTAAGTGTCCATCAGCAGGTAAGTAGATAAAGAAAATGAGACACACACACACACACACACACACACACAGAGTGGAATTTTATTCAGCCATAAAAAAAGAGTGAAGTTATGTCATTTGCAAGAAAATGGTCGAAACTTGAGCATTATGTTAACTGAAATAAGCTAGATTCAGAAAGAGAATTGTCATACGTTTTATCTTAGTTGTGGAAACTAGAGAGAAAAAAGGGGGTAGAATCCCATTAAAATAGAAGGTAGACCAGTAAAATGGAGGAAGGGGACCTGGTGGAGAGAGGAGGGGAAGAAATAGGGAGGTACTGGGGAATGGACTATTATGTTAAGTCATAATGCAGAAACAAAAATAATTTTTTCATAATGCAAACAAAAAGGGAAATGAAAATTAAAAAAAAAAAACAGAAGAAAGATAGGAAGAAAGAAAGAAACATCTCCTACCTTGAGACTTTTCATCTCCCAGCTACCACATTCAGAATCACCACTGTTTCCTACTGGCCTTCCAGAAATTTTTAATATACTTTTAAGCATTCATAGTCACATATTTAAAAATAATAGTGTTATTCTGTACATTACATATGCTTTAACATCTTGCCTCTTTCCCTGCAGTGACATTGTATAATGGGGTAACCAATTTCATCTTTTCTATTTGCTTTGGCAGCCAGGGAGCCCTGGACCTATGCACCAGAGCCCCGAGCTCATTACAGCTGTCAGCTTTAGCCCCAACTTTCTGATTTAATTTCTCACTCATTTTCTTAACGATTTGTCTTAAAATAGTTTAAAAATTTTACTGTGACTTTTTTATGTGAGACATTTAAATCCTTTTAGTGTATAGGATTAAACAATTACAGCTAATAGAAGAGATGTGTTTGCATCAAACACTGTTATGTGTTTGTATAATTTTTAGCACTTTCGTAGCTCTGGATATTAGCAGTATTTAGCAAACTGCTTTTTCAACATGGTAGTTGTTACTGAAGTCCTCCAAAAGGTAAATGTAGTTCACATACATGGAAAAGACTTTTTATGTTTTAAGAAAAACCAAACAAACTAAAAACCACTAATAACTTTCTAGTTGGAACATTTTAAGCAATTTTGAGATACAGGGAAGTTTTCTATAAAGATAGTGTCCATCACACCCTTAAGGTAAGCCCTCAGCATCTGTCATCCTCATTGATGCAATCATGCTGTTTTTATTCTTTGGTACATATTAAAATAGAAAAAAATATTGCATGTTTTTTGTCATTCTTTCAGACTGCAGTATTCTGTTTTGAATGTGGTCAACATTGATTTTAATACTCTTGGGACTGCTTATCTCCAGATCCGGGATGCTTCCTTTAAACATGGATTCACTGGTAGTACATCACTAGAATTTCTGTTCAACCATAAAAGGAGTCATTTAGAGGTCTTTGTCACTGTATCTAGAACATCATGGTAGTACAATATCCTTTTTAGCAAGGGCTTTTGGGGTAGGATATGTCTGTTTGGGAAATTAGATCAGGATTCATCTTCAATTAACCAGAGTTACTAAATGGCATTCTGTATTACTGATGATGTTTAAAGTTAATGTTGGTTAGTTGCTGTGAATTGAATTTGTGTTGTCTTTTTCTTTTATGACAGAATGTCACGTATTAAGTTGTAGGTCTTGTGAACCTTCTAGAAGGTAATGGGGTAAACTGTCATTAGTGCTAAGAGTTCAGAGTTATTTAATTAAAACAGCCTGTATTGACATTATTGTTCTTTTATTTATTAGTGATGAACTTACACCATTGTATGCTTTAGTGTTTTATGGATTGATTAGGATAAGCTGTTCTCTAACAGTCATTCCTTTATTCATTCACTCATATTTTTCTGTTGCACACTTCAGAAGCTTCTTCTCAAATTATCTTGACACTCCTTTCCCATTTGCCCTCGGTACATTTCAGTCCAGCTATTGCTTTAACCACAGCATTACCATTGATGGGATTGTTCATACCTCATCACGTTCCTCTTCCCAGGTCCGTCTTTACCATTTTAGATAATGAACAGTGTGTTCTATTCATTCTCCCTTCTTGACCTTCCTCATGCTCTTAGTTTTATTGCTACACGTGCCCATCTCTTCTGTTTTTATACTTTCTTTCCTTTGCTCATTACTTAACTAAGTTTCCAGATATCTGTCCTTAAACCACTTTCATTTTCATTTTCTACAGTCTTCCCTGACTTCCCTAACTGCTGGTACTCAAAATCCTTTATCATTGGCCCTTATCTCTGTCCTTTGCTCAAAATTATTATGTCCAGCAGGACATGGTCGCGTACCCCTGTAATCTCAGCAACTTGGGACACTGAGTCAAGAGTACCGCAAGCTCAAGGACATACTAGGCATCTTAGCAAGACCTTGCCCCAAAATAAAAAATAAAAAAGGCTGGGGATGTAACTCAGTGGTAGAGGGTCCCGGGGTTCAATTCCCCATAACAACAATAACAAAGTAGAATAAGAAGAAAAAGATGAGAAAGAGGAGAGGGAGGGAGAGAAGAAGAAAAAGAAATAATTTTGGAATCTTTTGGAGTGTGATGTATTAAGAGGCACTTCCTTATTATGTGAAACATTCATGTACAAATTGGGAAGAATTAATGAAGTATATTATAGATGAAATTGGACCACTGCATAAAACACAGTAGAGGACAACTGTAGTTCACCCCAAGTCTGATATTGTAAGAGTTTCCCCAAGTAAAATACTAAGGAATCTCAGAAGCTTTATAGTCTTTTTATTTGTATATTTTTTGTTTTTGGTAGCACTAGGGCTTGAACCCAGGTCCTCATGCTTATTAGGCATGTACTCTACCACTGAGCTATATCCCCAGGTCTTATAGTTTTAACTAAGCTTGAAAAGATTTGTAAGATTATACAACTTCATAGAGAATATCTCAATTTCCTTTTACATCTCTTTTTTTTATCAGCAGGTATCAAATATAATTTATACATTTGTCTACTATGATTAGTTTAGCTTACATTTTTTTTAAAAAAATGTTATATTTAGCTTTAAAGTTTCTTTAAGTATATCTTACAACTTATATATTTGAGGTAGGGAGGTATTTAATCATGAGCACAGTTTATATTTATTTGTTCAAAACTCTGATCTCATGAAAATTGTTATATAAATACTTGATTTAACAACTGTTATTATTAGGGGTTTGTGTGAAAGTCTGCCAACATGGTCCCAATATTTTTATTATAGATCAAAATGTTTTGAAAAGAACTGCTTCTCAACTGTGATCTTTGTTGTTTTGGAAATCCAAAAGATACTGAGTTATTTTCAGTTATTACAGTTGACATAGTTTCTATTGCCAATCTTTCCTTTCTGTTTTACTTAAAAAACCAGAAGTTCATGGACAAAGAATACCTATATCAAATTAATATGCAAATAAAGTGAGATAAGAGTTCTTTTTTGTTTTTGTTTTGTTGAAACAAAAGAATTTTAGTTAATAAAAAACTATGCATTTGAGTATAAGAATCCTGGCGATCCTAATTCATTCTCACCCAGGTAATAACCCATTATTGAAATTAATTTTTGGCTCTAAGATAATTATGGATTCTGGGTGCCATGCTTCTATTAAGTGGTAACAAGCCACTTTTCAAGTCTGAATTTGTCATATGCTTTTAGCAAATTCGATTGAGTAGAACTCAGTTATTAAGGAAAAAAAAAAGACACTCAAGACCTGAATAATATTTTCATGAATAAGGTGATTAATTTGTGACTGGTTGATTTGATGCTTTTAGGCTCACAGATGACTTATTGCTGAGGAATCTTGACACAGGCAATGCAGGTGTTTACCTGAATATAAAATTAGCACTATATTTAGCTGTAATTAAAATCTAGTATGGTATGTAAAACCTATTTGTCTCTGACTGGAACTTATTCCAGGTTAATGAGATTTCAAAGAAGACATAGAGAGTATGTCCCTTTTAAAAGATGATGACATTTTTCATAATTGCTGTCTTTATATTTGTTACCCAATTCTTTCTTTCTTCCTCTCTCTCTTCTTCTTCCCCCTTCCTTCCTTCCCCCCTTCCTTCCCCTCTCCTCCCCTCCCCTCATTTCTTTCTTTCTCTTTTATTTTGGTATTGGGATTAAACCCAGGGATGCTTTACCACTGAACTACATCCCCAGCCCTTCTCTTTTTTTTTTTTTTTTTTTTGAGTCAGGGTCTCACTAAATTGCTGGTTTCAAACTGGAGGTCCTCCTGCCTCAGCCTCCCAAGTTGCTGGGATTGCAGGTGTGCCCCACTGCATCTGGCTTAGCCAGTTTTGACTCAGTAAAATCTATCTATCATACTGTGGTCTGAACTTCTTTTCTTACTATGACTAGTTTTCATTTAAATTTATACTTCTTGTTCAAGTAACCTAGAATTATGAGCCAGGAAATTTTGCAGGTATGGATTTCATCTGTATTGCAGGTCTTCAGAGGTTGCATCTTGCATGAAGCCTCAAGTTTTTTTCTTAGTTTTCCTAGTCATGTTCTCTTTCCCATTATTTCACTCAATTTTCTGCCAGCCTGACATCATTATCCCGAATGTGTGTGTGTGTGTGTGTGTGTGTGTGTGTGTGTGTGTGTGTGTGGTGTTTCTTACTTACTGAGGTTTGTGTTTGCTTTCCTCTGACTCAGGTACATTGCACATGACTCAGTTCCAACTCTCTTATACTAGTGACAGGAATGCCAATGTGGAGATAAAATGTCTACCCACGTCCCCAGTCTCCCAAAGAACTCTCCCACTTCCAATCTTCTTCTCTGGAAATTAAAAAAGAGCTGACACAATCTCTTCAGCCCACAAGGAAGATTTTTTTCCTCTCCAGAAGGCCACTTTTCTTATTCTGAGAATAAAGCGTGGACATCTCTAGAATTGGGGGAATAAATACCAACATTTTTTATTATGCTGCATTGACTTTCCTGGGTGTATTACATTTAGGACATTGTAGTATATTATGAAATATGCTTCTCAACTAGATTTTATTTAATCTGGAAAGTTTTGACCTTAAGCCTACTTTAGTGCTTTTTTCTTTCTTTCTAGGTTTACAGAGATAAACTTTAAATTTTCCATTGAGCCTATCAGAATCTCAAGCCCTCTGTTTCATTTCCTCTTCCATTGGAAATTATCATATAGCTTTAGGAAAATAATAGATTGTCCTGGAAAACTTGTTGATTTGTGGAAGCAGATTACAAAGCAAAAGTTTAAAGTATTATGGAATCAAGAGTTTTTGTTTTTACCAAAAAATACTGAAATAAGTAAAATATAGGAATGTTCACCATTTTAGAAGTAGAGAAAGTTTCATGGAAAAATTAAGGTGCTTTACTGGTGGAATTGTATATTTTAGTCTACCAGAAAGGACTGGAAAACAACTTGTTTTAAGGGAACTACAAAATACCCAAGACCTAGGTTAAGGCCCAAGTTACTGCATATATGTAGACCTGTAAAGAAATGAGTTTAACTTTTCTCCAGTGAGAGATTAGGTTGCATTGGATAGTTTTGATGGAAATGTGCAGATTTTCATTTATTTTACAAATAACTCTGTTAAAAATTTGTGTTGATTTTGCTGAGGTAGGTCCTGAGACTTGAGATCAAAACTTGTATCATTGTATTGTACACACATGGATGCATTCTTTTAAAAAAAATCATGTTTTAGGTACAATTGAGTCTGTGATATTTGTGTCTTGCCATAGGTTTTAGTCAGCTTTTTGCTGCTGTGACTAAAAGGATCTGACCAACACAATTATAGAGGAGGAAAAGTTTATTTGAGGGCTCATGGTTTCAAAGGTCTTAGTCCACAGAGGCCAGCTCCATTCCTCAGAGCTGGAGGTGAGGCTGAACATCATGGCAGAAGAGTGTGGCCGAGGGAAGCAGCTCACATGGTGATCAGAAAGCAGAGAAAGAGAGACTCCGCTTGCCAGATACAAATATATATACCCCAAAGCCATGACCCAATTATCACCTCCTCCAGCCTCATCCTATCACTTCAGTTACCACTCAGTTAATCCCTATCAGGGGATTAATACACTGATTGGATTAAGACTCTCATAACCCAATCATTTCTCTTCTGAACTTTCTTGCATTGTCTCACATGTGAGCTTTTGAGGGACACCTCACATCCAAACCATAACACCGTATTTGTGGTTTAGTTCATTTTTCTCATCTTTTAGAAAGGGAAAAAAAACTAATAGGGAATTGTCTCCTTAATGTTTTGTCACATATAAGACTGATCAAAATTTAGTATTTACAAAGCAGGAAAATAAATATAAACAAAAGGCCTCGATCTACAATTGCTAAAGCAAATTAATATAGGTCATAGCAAAGTCCTATGTAACCATGTAGAAAACTACCTGTTAAGAGAAAGTTTCTAATCCTCTTTTTTTTTTTTTTTTTTTTTTTAGCATTTTACAGGAATTCTAAAATTAGTATTGGAAAAGTATGCCTGAATAGCTCAAATGGTTGATGTTTACAGACCATTTTGGACCCAGAGATCCAAAATATAGTTTTTTCAATAATTTCAATACCTTTCTAAACTGATTCGGTTTGGGATGTAAAATAACAGGTATTAATGTATAAATTAATGATTTGACTGATTAAGAATTTTAAAGATGTTGTGTCCACCGAGAACTAAAAAATAAATATTAAAAATTCTCTCTCTCTCTCCTCTCTCACTCTCTCTTTAAAAAAAAAAGAATTTTAAAAAGTTATAACATGTGATTTTACTTAGTTTTATAATATACTGTTAATAATAATTCAGAGAAGCTCTAAAACTTAAGAGAGGATTATGACAGACCTGAAATATATATTTTGTTTAATTTTATATTTGTCATACATTTATTTCTAAAGGAAGGCCTGTTTATATTTTGTTCTTAGTATTAATTAGATTTTTCATTGTATTTTACTTTTTAAAAAATAACTGTCTCATTTCATAATTCTTAGTTTATCAGAGAAGCCAATTTTATCTCAACTTCATTAAATAGTGATAATGAATTCATATTTAGTTGGCATAGAATTTTCTAAAGCCCTGAAGGTATATCCATGCAAGTGATTAAATTGGATTCCTATTCCCAACTAATTTTGGTTCTTGAGGATACTATAAGGAATTATTTTTGGCTGTCCTAATTATAATATATAATTTTATATATTTAAATACAATAGAATTGCACCTTTAAAAAATATAGTTCAACACCTTACTGTTTAGTTAAGTATATTGTTTTGATCAGTCTTTATAATTATGCTTCAGAGTCACCTTCTTTATTCTTTCTGGGCATTCCCCATTTCAATTTGAAAGAAATAGAGAGAACATAAACATTTCAGTAAATGATGGAAATATGATTCATGTTCTCAAATGGTACTTTGCCAGGGCTGGTGATGTTGCTCAGTGTAGAGCTTTTGCCCAGGGACCAGGGTTTGACCCCTGTACCACCCAAAAAAATAAAAGAATAAAATGGTGCTTTGTAATATTAACAAGGTAGCAGATATCCTAATAACAGATTGACTCTAGTTTTTTCATTAATAACAGGAGACAGATCTTACGGATTAGAGGAAAAATCCGTAAGAGGCAGAAAAAATAAAATCGGCCAGAGGAGGCAGCTATAAAGGTGGTGATCTAGGAATGTGTATTGAATGGAAGGGCCATTGGGACTAAGGATAGGAAGAGAAAAAGGGCAATGGAGAAACCATGTGAATATTATGGACTACTCAAAGCATGGCTCTGACTGGCAGAAAGTGGGAAGCCAGAGTGGAATTGGCTGCTAGTAATAAGGGAGAAAGCAACTCTTTAAAAAAATTTGTGTCAAAATGGTATTCAGTGGTCCATCACATCGAATCAGCACA